AGTAGAGATGACCTTAAATAACAAGGTCCTCTGTGACTGAAATGAGTGTATTCAGAGAACTAGTGACACCTGCACCATTACTTCTCATGCTTATGAAAAAGGGGCACTGGAGTCACATGGGTATTTAGGAAGGCCCAATACTGGTGGACGTTGGAGTCCTGGTGTGGCACTGTGGGTTAATGCACCAGATTGCAAAGCTGTTTGTACTGCAAGATCAGCAGTTCAAGCTCACCAGCTGCTCCTCGGAAACCCTATACAGGGTTGCTAAGGGTTGGAACCGACTTGATGGTACTTCACAACAACAACAATACTGGTGGACATTTCTTACCACCTCTAAGTGGGCTGACTTGAAGACTAAAATGTCCCCCTTATCTGCTGAACTGGAGTCCTGGTGTGGCGCTATGGGTTAAAGCACCAGACTGCAAAGTCATTTGAACTGCTCAGCGGTTCAAGCTTACCAGCTGCTCCTCAGAAAGCCTATACAGGGTCACTATGGACCAGAACCGACTGGATGGCACTTAACAACAACATCCTCTGAACTGTCCAACATCTTGGATGCAGCTCACAGGTAGCAGCCTCCCTGGTTTACAACCATGCTGAGTCCGTGGAACAACAGCCATGACAATGTAAATACGGCCCTGTCTGCCACCCGTCATGCCTTGAGCAGCTGGTCATTTGGTGAACTGGTAAGGTGACCACATACCCACCTTATCACTTCCTTCCCCAACTCCATCCTGATGCTAGAGGTCACAAGACCCAGTGTCTGCAGGGTACAGGCAGGAAACCAAGTGTAAGAAACATACAGCGTTCTTGGACTACCTGTTTCCACTTTTGATATGGCAAGAATATAAAAGAGATATTATAAAAATAAGAGGAAAAAGGCTCCCTGGTGGCGCTGTGGATTAAGCACTGGGCTGCTAACTGCAAGGTCAGCAATTCAAATCCACCAGTCACTCTGCGTGAGAAGGATAAGCCTGTCTATTCCCATACGGATTAAGAGTCTAGGAAACCCTATGGAGTCGTTCTACTCTGCTCTTCAGAGTCCCTAAGAGTCGGCATCAACTCTATAGTTTGGGTTTATAAGAAGAAACAACAGGGCAAGCATAATGATACATGGCAACTGATGGGCTACCATCGTTTTGGCGAAACGACAGAGTGGTGGGAATAAGTGGTCACGTAGTCATCAGAAATGAGCCACGCGTGCTAGTATGTCCACTAAATCATGGTGAGTCCGTGGTCTACAGAGCTAATCTTTCCAGACAATTCCAGAAATACAGACTTTTATATAACATCTAACAGTTTTAAAACTTGACCTCATACCCTAAAAAAGAATTATGCATTTTTTAAGTACTACATAAAGCAGTGTGAAACTACCAGCTGTTCTGCGGGAGAAAGATGAGGCTTTCTGCTCCCATAAAGATTTATAGCCTCGGAAACCCTGTACAGGGTCGCTATGAGTCGGAACCAACTCTACAACACATAACAACACAAGCAAAATACAAATATTGGTTAGATTTATACATACTTAAATACCTAGATGTTGTTGTGTACCGACTCTTAGTGACCCTGTATAGGCTTTCTGATGACAGCTAGTGAGTTTCAATGGCCAACCTTGCAGTTAGTCATCTAGTGTTTATCCTACAGCACCATACCCGGGCTCTGAGATATCTAGTTGTTGCTTTGTTGGCAAGTGTTATCAACAAGTTGGTTCTGACTCATAGAGACTCTGTATAGGGTTTTCAAGGCAGTAGATATTTGCAGGAGTAGAAAGCCTGATCTTTCTCCCATGGTGTGGCAGGTGGGCTCAAACAGCCAGCCTTGTGGTTTGCAGTCCAATGCTTACTGTACAGAGTTACCGCACTCTCTGGCATACCTAGTTATTATTGTTGTTTTCGTTGTTAAATGCTGTCGAGTCAGTTCCAACTCATAGCAAACTTGTATAGGGTTTCCAAGGTTTGAACCACCAACCTTGAGGTTAGCAGGCCAGTGCTTATCCTACAGCTTCATCCTACAGTACCACACCTCTACAAGGTATCCTGGTGTGGTGCTGTAGGATAAAGTACTGGGCTTCAAGATCAGTTTGAACCCCAAGGTTGGCAGTTTAAACTCACCAGCTGTTCCTTGGAAATCCTATATAGGGTCACAATGAGTCAGAATCGACTCAACAGCACTTAACAACAACAACAATAACTTTATATAGGTAGTTTGAGTCTGAAAGCTCAAGTTTCAAGATATAAGAAGTAGGTTTCTTGTGCTCATACACATATGGTATCAATAGAACACAGTGTCCTGCTAAGGACTTCCAGAAGGTAAGTCCTCTAAGGAATGCCAATTCCCCAGTCACTCCAGGCTTTCCTTTCAGATGCTTTGGGGCCACTCCAATTCCTGATGCCACCTCTCAGATCTGCTCTACTCTTAGCATGAGCACTGTGATCAAAGCACTAGGGGCTGTCATGTGACATTAGTCACATTGTCATGTGACAATCCCTAGTTTCCAACATTGTTGAAAATGTACTACTGACTTCAGATCCACTCACAATCACCCCAAATACCAAGTCACCAAATTTGTTCCACAAATCTCTAGCTCCAGACTTTATTCTCTTTACTGAAGAGAAAACAGCAGATTATTACCATATGACCCATCTCTGCCAAACACTTCACAGAAATATTCAGCAGCTTTGAAAGTAAGCTTTCCAAGTAAACCATGCAAATGGTCAGCTCTAGTCCTAACATATCCCCTGCTGGAAGGTGGTCAATTCCATGATCCATCTGGAATATTGACTAACTTGCAATTTCTCCATAAGAACTCTTTGTCCATTTTTAAGGATTATGCTCACAATCTCAATGTATTATCCTTGCCACCCTTCACAGGTGGATGACTTATCCTTTCTTTGCATGTTTGAATTAATAGACTTTATTTTTTTAGAGGCAATGTAGGTTTATGAGAAAGATTGAGCAGCAAGTACAGAAGTTTCCATGTACTCCATCTCCCCAATGCCCACGGGTTCCCCTGTTACTAACCACCAGACTCTGCCAATTCACCTAGGATATATCTTCTTGATTTGTGATGGTATAAAGGAATGCTCACCCTCAAAGGTCTGTGGGCAGAGTCAGCATGTGTATAGCCCGGGCCAGAGAGGAGTGAACCAGGAAAACTTTATATGGGTGTTGAGGGAAGTTGTCAAATAAAGACACCAAGCGTGGTGCAAATGATCCACCCAGCAGTGCCTTTAAACAAGGGCTTGGCAATCTGTTTGTAACCAGTCATGAAAAACCCTTTGGAGTACAGTTCTACCCTGACACACATGGGAATACCAAAAGCTGGAGTCATTTCGATGACAACTGTTTTTTATTTTGTTTTCCTGCAGCATAATTTTCAGAAGTCCAGCTTTGATTCTGATAGAATCTAGAGACTTCTAGGTAAAGGAATTGGAATGAAAGAGGGAGTTGTAGTACTGAAGTCCCTGAGTAAAGCTCCAAGGGAAAAAGAGTCAATAGCTCCATGGAGTGCACTTCCTCAGTCCTGCAGTGGAGGTTATCTCTGAGCTCCAGAAGGCATGGGTCTTTATTTAGTTCTTAAAGAATGAAGATAAGAGGAAAATGGCCTCTTCAGGAAGAAGGAAAAACATCCATGCTCCTTTATAAGCATCTTCGTGGCGTGCCAAGTGACTCTGTGTACAAGTGACCGGGCCACTCCTGCCCTGCTCTCCAAACAAATGCAGGCTTTTCCAGAGAGGATGGCATGGAAGGCCAGTGAGCAAGATTGGGGACCTTGGGGCTGGACGGGTCAGGATGTGAAAGCCATCCTTCATGTTTCCTCCCCACGCAGCCAGGCCTCTGCTGACATCCTGCACACCCCCTTCACCACCCTGCGAGCTGCTGGCCAAGCCAGGGAACCCTGAGGCTTTCAGGGGCTTTTATCGTATTAGAAGCATTTTTCTCATCATAACTGAGACCTTTAGTATTGCATTAAAAAGATGGTTAATTTTCTTAAGCTTCCTTTTAAACACAGAAATAGGATTAGAAGGATAACACGCTCAGATGCAAGCCCATTATTTGATTATGTCTAAACCTAATCCTGCCTTCACCTTGGCCTGTGCAGTCTCCATTTGGGGTTTATTGGTTGATAATGCCAGGGCTGTCAGATACTATTATTTGGGTAGGATCTGTTCCTACATGTTCTTTCTCCCCATCTCAAATGCTAAAGGTTTGAAATTGAATTATAGGATACGCTTTCAAAGGTTTGTCATCTTTTGGACTTCTGTACCTATTTTTAAGGGGCAAAAGAATGGCTCAGACCCCCAAAGAATGGGGTCGCTTTTCTTCAAATAACATTCAGAGAAAACCCCTTTCTTTTATTAAGCAAGCTTTCTTTTCTTACATACTATGAAGGTTGAGGAAACTTGACATTGATGATACTAAAACATCAGCAGAATCAGCTACAGATGACTCTTTTTGATCCATTGACTATCCAAAGGACATTAATGTGGAGTCTCTGGAAGGTGTAAGTGGTTAACGTGTTTGGCTGCTAACTCTATTGGTTGGAGATTCAAGTCCATTCTAAGTTACCTCAGAAGTAAGGCCTGATGATTTCCTTCTGAAGAATCAGCCACTGGAAAACCCTATGGACCCCATTCTACTCTGACACACCATGATGACTGGGTTGGGTTTGTTATTAGATAATCTGCTGCAATCATCTCCTTGTAGATAGGAACTCTGCATACCTACTGTATCCCAGTAGGTGACTAAATAGTGCCTTGACTAAGCTGCTGTTTAGCAAGTAATTGTGGGACTAATCCAAGGAGTCACATCCCCTCTTCATTATGTGTGTGTGTGTGTGGGGGGGGGGGCGCTTATCATACTGTCTCTCTCAATGGAGAAGTAAAAGGCATTCCCAGAACCCCTTATCTATGGGAGAGGTTTCTGATAACTCCAAGAGCACATGGACAGCCCAACCACCAACCCACTTCACCAGCCCAGCAGCCTCTAAGTCTCTTTACCTGTCGCAGTGGTTGCATTTAAAGGGCTTTGCACCTGTGTGTTTCCTGTAGTGCCTTGTGAGTTCATCGCTTCGTGCAAAACGCCACTCACACCCTTCCCATGAGCATTTGTAAGGCTTCTCACCTGCAAGAAGAGATGGGAAGACCATGGTCAGCAACAAGAACAAAATGGTAGCACCCCGAATCAGATTCTGCTGTCTGGTGGCTTGTCTTGGAAAAGGGTTGCATAAATAATTCCTGAGTGACTAAATTTCCTGGCAGAAACACATCCCTTTTTAGTCTTCTGTTTTTTCCTCTTCAAAAGTGTTTTCGCTAGACCCTCAAACCTGGAGCTATCATTTTAGTTCCCAATGTCTGAGAATTCCCTTCTACTGGTGAGGGATCGATTTTTATTTATTTTCTAATCCTTAAAGGACTCTCACCCCCACAGTCCAAGCAGAAAGGAAATGTGCTATTTTCATCTGAACCACAAATGCTTCTAATTCTATTTTTCTCCAGAACCTACAGTAATTTACCATTTCAGTCTCCTCTCGCCCCTACCCTCCTACCACAAACTGTAGTCAGATAGCTGAGAGACACAAGCCTTCCAGTAAACGGGAAGGGATGGACAGTCACGAGAAGGGACTACAGTTTGAGAGAGAGTAAAACCAAAATCGTCTGAAGATTCCTGGCATTTATGTAACAGGCCGCACAAAAAGCCTATTTAGGAAGCCCATAGCTTAATGACTCTAGGGTGTTCATATTAGAGACCGAGGTTCATTATAACAAAATATTTTTAAAGTCAATTTGCAGAACAAGGCTGCTTATAAACATGAAATCTGAGGACTTGTGCTCAAGTGAGCTTTTCATACAGTAAATATAGATGGGGGAACATGAAAGAGAATGTATATGAGTTTTCTTTTAGACCTTTTCTAATCCATCCATCTGTCACCAAACACGGCAAATATTTATCCTCCCAACTGCACGGTGGTCTGATTCTAATTAGAAATAAAAATAATCTTTGTCACTCTGTGAGGTGATAGACCTCTTGCACCCCATAATTGAGAGGCAGGTTAGCAGAGAAGTCAAAAGCTCTGAAGTCACCTTCCTAGGCTCAGCGTCAGCACCTTCCCTAAACTGACTAACCTTGGACAACTTGTCTACGTCTCTGTGATCTATATATGGAGATGATAACAGCACATACATGTTGTTGTCAAGTGCCGTGGAGTCGATTCTGACTTATAGCAACCTTGTATAGGGTTTACCAACAGCGGCTGGTGGATTTGAACTGCCAACCTTTCCTTTAGCAGTCCAGTGCTCATCCTACAGTGCCACACGACGACGCTAAAAGGAATATGCACACACATTACAGATGAAAGGAGTCTTGATGGCATTTAACTGCTAACCAAAAGGTGCGCACTTAGCCATCTGCTCCCATACAGATTACAGCCTCGGACACCCTGTGGGGCAGTTCCACACTGTCCTATAGGTTTACTTACTGTCAGTCAAAACCCACTCAACGGCACACAACACCAACAACATCGTTATCAGTCTATCAAACTGTCCACCCTAGAATTTCAGGACACATAGGTGCCTAATATTTATTCTTCTTCAGATCGAATTGGTTGCCCCATTATTTCTCAAATCTCTATCTGGCAGCACATGAGGAGAGATGGCCCAGATACTATACTTGACCTATTTTTTTTTTTTTTCCGCCTTTTCCATCCCTTGAAACCTGACTACAAAGCATTTACCATTCTTTATTTGTATCACCTAGAATCAAACCAAACATGATTGAAATTTTTATTTCATTTAATCGGTGCCCTAGTGAGTCACAGCTCTGTGAGACCCAGAGAGAAGAGGAATGAGAAACACAGGAATCTCTTTTCAAGGGAACCAAGAGGGCTGGAAGGAGGCCTGGCCACTCAGGAGGACACCCCTTCAGATTTGGAAACCAGGAAAAGAAGAAGGAAAAAAAGAATCACTGAGCAATATTAAAAGTTCACCTTCTAAACCTTTAAAGCCAAAGTTTTAGAAAAAATGTTCCTGCAGAAGAGAAGGTAGCAGAGTGGGAATGTCCCCTACATAAGCCTGGGGGTCGGCACACCTGGGTTCTCCCTGAGCTAATTCCAGACTCAAAAACCAAAAACCAAACTTACTGCCATCAGCTCGATTCTAAGTCAAGACCTCAACATTCTCAACCGCTAAATGGGAATGAGCTGCTTATATTTATCGTAAAGTTGAAATAAGCTCTCATAGCTGAGACATGCTTCTTGAGCCTGCCACACAGTAAGTATTGAGCTAATTTGAACGCCCTTTCTTCCTCTCAAAGAGCCATGGTGCTGCAGTAGGTAAGTGCTTAGCTGCTAACCAAAAAGTTGGTGCTCCACGAGGGAAAGATGTGGCCGTGTGTTTCTGTGAAGTTTACACTTGGAAACCCAAAGGGGCAGGTCTAGGATGTCCTAAAGGGATGTTGTGAGTGAAAATCAATAGCATTGGGTTTGGGATTTTCTTTCTCCCACTGCCTGTACTTTCAAGACACAGGTCTCAATAGAGACAATAAAAGCTTAATAACGAGTAAATCTGGAGTCACTAAGGGCAACTGAAATATTGGAAAACAGGCTTTTTTAGTGTTATGCATTTCTCAGTATGTTGTTGCGTGCCCTCAAATAGGTTTGGACTTACAGTGACCTTGTAGGGAAGAACAGAACTGCCTACAGGGTTTCCTAGGCAGTCATCTTTATGGGAACCGATCACCAGACCTTTCCTCCGCGTAGGAACCACCTCAGGGAGCAGTTCAGTACTTAACCAGTCCACCACTGGGATCCCTTTTTCTTTTCAGCACAGCCATGGGGGAACCAGTGAGAAAAGCTGAGTGTCCTTCAGATCCGCTCCGAGTGAGTGGGATACTGAAGGAATGTAAGAGAGCCAGTCAAGAGTTGGGAGAGGCATGTTAGCAACTGGGACCAGGTACCCAATGCTAGTGAGCACCCAAAGGCTGTTTCTCCAAGTAGAAAGCTGGCCAGACATCCCCACCCCAAAAGACTACGAGGCATCCCAAACACTGGACTTCAGAAATTCAAACTGCCTGCCACCCGCAAAGACTTTCAAATGCAAATAAAAGAGAGGTTCCTAGGAGCATTGGGAACCAAACATAACCCCAAATACAACAAGGCAGCTAGGAAATCCCATGAAATTCTACAACAACAAGCAAAGACGTCCAGTCCCCCAAATCAATCCCGCAATCGAACTGACCCATCCATCACTGGCAACCACATTCTAAAGGGCACAGGAAGGATGGAGAGAAAATAGAGGAGATTAAAGTGGATGTCTTTGGGCAATTTTTCCTTTCTAATTGTTCGCTTTTCCTCTTGCTGATTATTATTTTTGTTAGTTACGTTTTGTTCCATGTTGACAAATAATGCCAAGGATTTAGTTACTTCTAAGCAACTGTCAACTCGACGGCACTTAACAACAACAACAGCAAATGATATAGATCCTGAGTTAATGCCTGACATAAACCATCTGTCCTGTACGTTAGCTGAGGTGGTGCAATGCTTAATAGCTCAGTTGCTAATGAAAGGTTGGCAGTTTGAACCTACCAGTCACTCCATGGGAGAGCCTAGCACTCTGTTCCCATAAAACTACACTCAACCTATGAAACACTGTGGGGGCATTTCTACGCTCTCATGTATGGTCACTTTCAGTGACACACAACAACACCATCCATTCATTACTTCTGTGCCCTTCCAGTGCCATATTCCCAGATAGGACCGAACCCCAGTTACCATGCTTGTCTGCTGATAGCTTGATTGAGCTCTGCTTCCTGTTTACAGGTAGGTGCTAGACAGAATAATTGTTGTTGTTATGTGCCATCAAGTAGATTCAGACCCATAACGACCCTGGATAGGGTTTCCCAGGAGCAGCTGGTGAGCTTGAACTGCAAGGTTCGATAGCTCCACACCAGGACTCCATACAGAATAAACTAGAGCCCTAAAGAAGTTTAATTAAGGAGCTCTGGTAGCGTACTGGTTACAAATCGGACTGCGAGCCACAAGGTCAGCAATTCGAAACTACCAGCTGCTCCGCGGGAGAAAGATGAGGCTGACTGCTTCCGTAAAGATTTACAGCCTCGGAAACCCTGTACAGGGTCGCTATGAGTCAGAACCGACTCCACGGCACATAACAACAACAACAACAAAGAAGTTTAAGGAGTTCTGGTAGCGTAGTGGTTACAAATAGAGCTGTGAACCGCAAGGTCAGCAGTTCGAAACTACCAGCTGCTCCGTGGGAGAAAGATGAGTCTTTGTGCTCCCATGAAGATTTACAGCCTCGGAAACCCTGTTCAGGGTCGTTATGGATCAGAACCGACTCGACGGCACTTAACAACAACAACAAAAGACGTTTAAGCCAAGTTATAACTTTGTGATTCATCAAGATACTGTTTTCTTCCTGTGTCTGATTAGTTGACCCATCACTTGCCATTTCTGCAAATAATCATGAACAAGAAATTAAAAATAACCAAGTAAGCACTCAGTCAAATGAAGGAGTAGTTCCCCAAACAGGAAGAGTTCCGAAATCAGTGGAGCAGAAGAAAACATGTAGAATTAGGGATGGGAGGCCACAATGTAGGACACAGGGACAGTGAGGTTCAGGCTGGCCTCATTTCTGGGTCCCATGCTCGCTTCCATAAACCAATTCCTTCTCACAAGACAGGTCTCCAGTCAGTAGTGTCGGCATGGCTAAGACTAAATCTCTTCCAACAGCAACAACTCACTTTCTGACTTGAGGGGTGGATCCACCTATAGACACAATCCATTTGTTTTCATCCCAGCAGCCTACCTGAAGATATCTGCTTGGGTCCCTCATAAAAAAGGGAAGGCATTTCAGTTAAAACTGGACCAGGCTTCATGTAAAATCTTATCATCTCACTCGCCACCCCTTCCCTTCTACTACCCTCCGTTCTCTCCTTCTTCCATTCCAGATATTCCTCCTGGGTATTCTAAACAAAACAGGAAGGGTCGGACCATGGCAGGACACTACACTATACTGTGCCTAGGACAATGCAACATCATGAGCCCTTTGTACCGCAACAATGCACAAAAAAAAAAAAAAAAAAAGTTATAGAAAGGTCCATTTGAGACA